TCGAGAAGAACACCAAAGTTTTGAATGGATCTGCAAAAAGAGTGCACTGCCTGATCGCGAGTCGTTGGGATCCCAACGTAACGATGCCTAAATTGCTGAAAACAGAATATGTTCGGGAATATTCCTTGCTGGATTTGATGGTGGTCCCAAAGGTGCCACCCTGGACAATGGTGAATCGGTACAATTTGTTGACAGCAGTATAAACCCCATCTTCTGATTGGACCACCTAGCGTGGAGTCAATCATGTGAGATCGGAACATCATACTGTGCAATCACGTTGGTACACGTAGGCTGTTTGAATGGCCCAAAAAAAACACGGATGGAAACACCAATTTCGAGAATCTAGTGACGTGGAAAAATACTGCCGTTAATCCAACCAGCGCGGTTCGTTTCTCGAAGCGTGCTACCAAAATGAGCCGCTCTAGTGCTTAGGAGGCGGCTGCAAGGCGACGAGTTTGGAGGGAAATGAAGAATCTAGGCTGGGTCTGACAGAAACGGCGGTAGAGAGAAGGGACGGAGGAGCTGTAAAATTCATCATTTGTCTGGAGAAGTAGAACTCATATTCTCGCGAATTCGCGAGCTTATTGGTGACTGGAAACTGCAATTCGTCAGCGCGTACGAACATTGTCGCTGGTGGGTGACTGTCATTGAGGAGGGTCAAGTTGAGTAGCGACGTTGTTCGCGAAAGATTTTAGTGCAACGCCTCGTCAACCTGATATTTTGAGGATGTGCAGATAGCGTGGGTATCGTGGTGATCCTCCATGCGAATGTGGACGATGGGTCAAATCTGGTCGAACACGGTTCTGGGTATCTTAGCGGGTTTGCAGTTCCCTAGAAAGTCAATCAGTCAGTAGGGTTCAGTAAGTGTTTTGAGAGATACCAGACGGTTTGATGAGTCGAACCATTCAAACCTGAACTTGATATTGTCCTGTGAAGTAGGGATAGAAACGTTGTCGGTGCTATTCGTTTTGGTGCGGTACAGTGGCTACACTAGCTACCTCGCACACGGCACGCATGACCTGCGTGGAAGCACCACATACCCCTTCCTGCTCTCCTCCACCCACCACTCCCCCCAATCTCTCCCAACCAATCTGTACTACTTGCAGGATTCATTGCTCGCTGACACTATCGCGCCTCTCTTCTCACCCCGGCGCGTGCTGTCACATAAACCTGGTTTTCACTTGCGACAATTCCCTACTTCTCGCTTGTAAGTCAGTTGTTCCTGCGGCCGCTCCACACCACCGAACGTCCACTTATCCGCGCTCTCCTCTCACCGCCAGCGGGCGTCCAGTCACCGCCCTCTGGTATCCGCGCGTTAGCGCTATTCTGAATTCTTCCCTCGAACCATCTGAACAGCATAGCCACCTACGTTATTCGGATTTCAGTGAAGAGCCCTTAGCCTCGTGAGAGGTAGTTTTCTTCCCGTGTCACGGGCTTGCAGCCTACTTGCGCGTATTACATAACTCGAACGTAGAGTCGAGATGAATCGCATATTTGGCGTGAAGAAAGAGAAGACGCCGGCACCGAGCCTCACAGAAGCGTCAGAAAGAGTAAGGGAATTATTACGGTTGCCCTTGCCGTATCCACGTCGCCTCCCCTTTCTCTCTCGCCCTCCCCTGCCCTTCTTTCCCTCTATCGCTCCCCGCACTTCTCGTTCTCTTGCTTGTTTGTCGGATGCCTGAAGCTGTTCGTCTCCTCGTTCTTTTTGCCCTTACACCACCTCCAACATTTCTCGCATCGTCGCCTTGTCCCTGCGACACCACCTCGGTGCCCTCCTTGTCGTCGCATGCCATATTATGTCATCTTCGTACCAACCCACGACGCACTTGCACCGCCATGCCGCGCCGCGCCACGTGTGTCCGTGTCAGATCAATGCGCGCGGCGATTCGTTGGACGAGAAGATTCGCAAGCTAGAGGCGGAGCTGGTGCGGTACCGCGACCAGATCAAGCGCACGCGGCCCGGGCCGGCGCAGGAGGCGCTCAAGGCGCGAGCGATGCGGGTGCTGAAGCAGAAGAAGATGTGAGCATCACATGCCGTGGTTCACGGGGCGTAGTTGATAGGGCGTGCATTAATAGGGTGTGGTTGGCGTGGCGGTGGCTCTCACGTTGTGGCGTCTGTTGGCGTGTGCGTGTGTCCCAGTGTGCGGGGAGATAGTTGTCCACTCTCTACTGCCTCTCTCGCCTGCTACCATGCTCTCACTGCTGCTATCATCTCTCTCCTCCTTGCGTGTGAACGTTGTGCTGCACTTTTCACATGGTGCATGGCGCATGGCGCGTGGCGCATGGGTGGCGGGTGGCGGGTGGCAGGTTGGAGGGGCAGAGGGACAACCTGTACAACCAGAGTTTCAACGTGGAGCAAGTGGCGTTCGCGCAAGAGGGCATCAAGGACGCGCAGGCCACTGTCAGTACCACCACGTGCCCCCCCCCGCCATGCCCCCCCCCGCCATGCCTGCAAAAAGCCCATCCATGCCACACGGACCGCACCACTTGCTGTGGCACAGAGGCCGGCAGTTGAATATAACTCGTACTTTCTCGTGCAAGCTCACCCTCGTCCATTCTTCCTTTCGTGTGCTCCCACGCCGAAACTTCTCCTCGCCCCCGTTTCCCCATTCACCCCCTCAATCCTCCCGCCCATGCGTCCTCACCTCTGCATGGGTGACTGCAGGTGGCGGCCATGAAAGCAGCGAACAAGGAGCTTAAGACGCAGATGAAGTCCGTTAAGATTGAGGACATCGATGTGAGTGCCAACACACCACCGCACAGCACCGCACTGTGTCGTGCTGTGACCACCCCATTGCACACGCGCACGCACGCATGCCTTGCTCCTGATGCTCGTTCCACGCTTCCCACACCTCCTTTCCGTACTACCCAATCGTTCCTCCGCCCCCCCCGTGTCGCTCGCTTCATTCGCTGCCGTTCCTGCACCCAGCTTCACCACAAGTGCAGCAGGCAGCAAGCCCACACATGCTTCAAATGCCACCCCGGTGCACAGGGAAATTCCTGTTCACGAGATGTGCATGCGCAAGGAAATATCCTTGATCATAAAAACGCGCATCTTACCCGACCAAGGAGACTCTCAACTCACCTACTCTTCGCCACGGCTCCCCTCCCTCGTGTGATGTGATCCCTGTGCTGTCGTGTGTGCCCGTGCCCCGGTGTGGCATGGTGGATGTGACAGAGCATGCAGGACGACATGTTTGACCTGATGGACTACAGCAGCGAGATACAGCAGGCGCTGGGGCAGTCGTACAGCGTGCCCGATGACATTGACGAGGACGACCTGCTCGGCGGTGCGCCGGGGGGGGGGGGGATGCTGTGGGGTGCTGTGGGGTGCTGTGGGGTGGGATGGGAGGGATGGAGTACGTGAGCTGGGGATGTGCAGGGGAGGGGAGGCATGTAGTGTGAGTTGAAGGAAGTTGGGTTCCACAAGCGTTTTGTGCGATATTGCACTTGCACGCGTGCGTCCTCTGTTTCCGCTCGCTGGCAGTTCATTCCTCCCTTCCTCCTCCCTCCCCACTCCACCCGTCCCCATGCTCCCTTATTCCTTTTCCACCTGCTTCTTTCCCCCTGGTCCCTTCTCCCTCAACCTTTCCCCGCTTCCTTCCCCGCCTCCCTTCCCTGCCTCCTCCCCCCTTCCTCCCTTCCCCTCTTCCTTCCCCCCTCCCCCCTCTCCCATCCTCCTCCTCCTTCCTCCCTCCCCTCTCCTCCCTCCCCCCTCCTCCCTTTCCCCTCCTGCCCACCCCCCTTCCCCTCTTCCTTCCCCCCTCCCCCCTCTCCCATCCCCCTCCTCCTGCCTCTCCCCCATGCTCGCTCCTCCCTCCTCCCTTTAATCCGACCGGCACCTCTGGGCATGGCATGGCACGATGGTATCAGAGCTGGACGCGTTGGAGGCGGACATGGGCGTGGATACAGCAGACGCCACGCCGTCCTACCTGCTGCCAGACACGGAGCCAGACACGCTGGAGGCCGAGCCCGACCTCTTCCTGCCCTCCGCTCCCACTGCCAACGCCGCCTCTGCTGTGCCGGTCCGTGTCCTGCTGGGGAGAGCTTGCTCTGCTCTGCGTGCTTCGCGTTGCACCTGTGGGCTGGGCACATGCATGCAGGCCCATGCACATGCACCGCCACGCACATGCATGCACACACAACCGCAATGATATGCTTGCCGCTCGAGTGTTTTCTCTGCGGTGAAGGTTCACTGTTGAGTTGTGAATGCGGTTTGCCTGTCCTTTCAATGTGCAGGTGGCGGAGCCAGCTCGCCCGTTGCGCACGTGACCTTCACCCTGCTCCCACACGTTCTTAGGCGCGTCACAGGTTCAGAACTAGGCTCCCATGTGTTGTGTGCTGACCTCGGCACCAAGATGCTAGATGCTCACACCTGCTCTGGAGCACAGTGCAGTGCACACGTTTCCCAGCACTGGCTGCCTCGTGATACTGCACCCAGCACCCAGCACGGTAACACGTAGCATGCAGCAGCACCTGCCTGCTACTTGGTGTGAAAAAGGCAAGCAGTGTGGAAGGTGGTGTTGGCGATAAGAGCATGGAGGTAGAGAAGTGGATTGCGATGCATCACGCGAACCACTTCTTGTGGCTCCCCAGTGAAAATCACTAGGAGTAGCGCACCTGCACCTACTTTAGGTACTACTCCTGCTTGGGTTTGGTGGTAGGTAGATTCTGCCTGGAGCATTTACTCTGTGTGCTTGAGACTGCGTGAGAAGCTTTCTCTGCCGAACCGGGCTAGACAATCACGTAAGCATTGCAGTGCAGCAGCATGCTGCCAGTACATGTAGTCCTCTATATTGGAGTTACTGAGTATTTTATTCGTAATATCTTCCAGGGTGTACGTTGCCGTGTATATATGTGTACATGCGCTCTGATCGCGTTATAACGGAGAGCTAGCAGTCGTTACATGCATGGCGGCCGTCACTTGTTCCCACCTACCTTCCACTCTGTCGCCCGCATTTCGCGAATTACCCACCGCATTCACCAGCGCGCACGGATCCATGTACTTCCCTCTAGGCGCTTCTCGTCCGATCCTTGGTCTGTCTGCCGTTGCTCGTGCCCTCACCACGACGATTTCGCGCCGCGTGCGCGCGCGTCTGTCCCTCGGTCGTTGCGCACATTCCTCGTCGTTTTTGTCGTTCATCGCACTAGCCGTCGGACTCTTGCGTTCCCCGCTCTTTCCTCCTCCCGCTATGCTCCTCGCGCGCCGACTTCCCTCTCCGCCCTCCTCCCTGCGCCTCCCCTTCCTTGCGCGCCTCGCTCCCTTCCTCTTGCTCCTGCTACTCGCCGTCCCGCATCTCCCGCCGTCTCTCGCGCAGAGCGAGTCCCCGTTGTCCGGCCAGGGGCTCGCGCCGTACCCGACGCTGCTGACGCCTCCGGGTCGCAATGGGCAGGGGGACCGCCGCGCGCTGCAGATGGGGGACGGGGGGACGTGCGCGAGCGCGGGGGGAGGGGAGCCCGCGGTGCGCGCGGCGTACACGCCGGTGTTTGTGTCGGTGGTGCTGAACAAGCTGCTTGATGTGAGACACATCGCGCGCGCACCGCTGCGCCGCGCGTCTTTCCCTCCTGCTCGTGGCGTTGCGTTCCGTGGACAGTTTTCACACTGCCATGCGCCATGCGCCGCGCTCCAGCCTCCTCCATCTCCGCGTCCTCTCCCCGCGTCTACCAACCCCTCGGACCCCTCTCCTCCCCTTCCCTCTTCCCCCCCCTTCCCTCTTCCCCCCCCCTTGTCCCCCCCGCTCCCCCCGCTCCCTCCGGTCTCCCCGCCCGCCCCGCGCGCAGGTGGACGACGAGCGGTACCAGTTCGAGGCGATCATCCACCTGCGCATGTCGTGGCACGACCCGCGCGCGCCGCTCGCCATCCGCCAGCGCACCGCGGAGACCTTCCTGGCGGGGAACCCGTCCGCGTGCGCGCGCGTGTGCGCCAAGGGCCGCTCCCTGTGCTGCGACTCGGTGTGGCTGCCGGGCGTGATGGGCGGCAACCTGTTATCGCTGGAGGACGAGCGCACGGAGTGGGAGGCCATTGCGCTGCAGCCCGGGAACCACTCCAATGTGCGGTGGGGGCGCCGCCTGCGCGCCACCTTCCACGCCGCGCTGCGCTTCCACCGCTACCCCTTCGACACGTGAGCTGTGGCCGGAGCGCAGGAAGGGTAGCGATGGAACACACAAGGGGTTACGATGTGGGGGAGGGGATGGCTACGAGGCCTGTGAGGCAATGCGCCCAATTCTGAAGCCAATCCGGAATTCGCAAGCTGAATTCCGAGCTCTTGTCATGCAACGCCCGCATGTCCCCTTTCTCGCTCATATCCTTTCTCTTCCGCCCCCTCGTCCCTTCCGTGCCCCCCGGCTCGCCCCCCTGTGCTGTGTGGAGTGCAGGCAGCAGCTGGTGGTGGAGCTATGGGCGGAGAGCTGCTGCTACTCCTTCGTGCCCAGCGCCGCCGCCATCCGACGCCCGCGCTCCTTGCTGCCCTCCGCCCGCGGCCCATCGCATCTCCACGACAACGCCTCTTCCGCGGTCACCACTGGCAGCAGCAGCAGCAGCAGCAGCAGCGGCGGCAGCAGCGGCAGCAGCGGCAGCACGGGGCGGCAGAGTGAGCAGAGCGGGGCGGACGGCGGAAGCAGGAGTCCAATGCGGCGGGGGCGGGTGAGGAGGGATGACGGCAGCGGGCCGGACGACCTGTCGGGGTGGCAGGTGGAGAGCGTGTACGTGCAGGCCCAAGCAACACACGTGGGGCGCATGATGCAGTGGGTGGAGGAGCCCCATGCGGACGAGGTCTTCAGCGTGCGCTCCGAAGAGCTTGCCGGGGCCACGCTGGGTGGGGGTGGCACTCCTTGCGGCACCATGCTGTGGGAGGGCGAGGAGGGCGGGGAGGACGTGGGCGGGAAGGAGGAGGAGGGGGAAGAGGCGGCGGGGGAGTGTGGGAGCGGGAGGGCGGAGAGCAGCGAGTGGAGGGCGTGGCAGGAGCGGGAGCAGCAACTGGCAGCGGCATCACTCAACTCAACGCTGCTGATCGTGATCCGCGTGCAGCGCATCTGGCACTACTACCTCTTCCTCTTCCTCCTCCCCACCTTCCTCGCCGTGGCCCTCTCCTGGACCTCCTTCTGCATGTCGCCGGAGCACCTCGAGCTGCGAGTGGGCACGGGCGTGACTCTCTTCCTCGCACTCACATCGCACCAGTTTGTGATATTTGACACGCTGCCGCACTCCAGCTACGTGACCATCATGGGGTGGTTCATCATCTGGTCGTACGCGCTCATTGTCTTCGCCGTATTGCAGTCGCTGCTCGTGAACTACGTGTACTGCATTGGGGAAACGGCAGCGCGCGAGCACAATGAGTCGGTGGCAGCGCGGGCTACAAGGCGCCTCCTCATGGGGTCGGCGGCAGGAGCGGTGGGGAGGGCGGTGTCGGGGGGAATCAGGGATGCGGCTGCGAGTGGGAGCGGGGCTGTGAGTGCGAGTGGGAGTGGGAGTGGGAGTGGGGGTGGGAGTGGGAGTGGGAGTGCGAGTGGGGGTGGGAGTGGGAATGCGGGGAGGAGTTACGGCGTGGTGCGGCTGTCCTCTGCAGGTCGCTGGCCCAGCCTGTCCCCGCAGGCGCTCTCCCTGCTCTGGCGCCCCTCCGCCTCCGTTGTTGCTGCTGCTGCTGAGCCGCTGCTGGCACAGGAGGGACCTGCAGGTGGTGGGGAGGGTGGGGGGAGGCACGGGGAAAGCAGCAGGGATGCTGCTGGGATGCGGGGGAGGAAAGGTGTTGAGGAAGGGAAGGAAGGGGGAGGGAAGGAGTTAAACGAGGGGAAGGGAGAGAGTGAAGGGAGTGTGGTGAGGGATGCAGGCAGGAGTGAGAGCAAGCCCCCACAGCACACCGCCAGTAGTGGAGTGCGGGCAGGTGAGCGTGGGAACAGTGACAAGCCATGTGCACCAGTGATCCGGCCTTGTGGGGGTCTGAGAGAGCAGGAGAGTGAGGGGGAAGGTGTGTCACAGCAGCCAAGCGAGCAGGAGGGCGAGTCGGAGATGGGAGCAGAGAGGAGCAATCGAGGGGGTGGGTTGTTCCGTGAGAGTGAGTCGTTTGCGGGGCTGTCCCATCTGTCGAAGCGCATTCAAGAGACGGTGGCGCATGCGGGGCATCTCAAGGGCATGGTGGAGCAGGACCCCCACCGTGCCAAGATATTCATCTCTCGCCTCGATGGCCTCTGCCTTGTCGCCATGCCCCTGCTCTATGTGGGCGGGCTGCTTTGGATCTACATGGTTGTGGAATGACAAGGCTGGTGCAATGGGGTTGGTTGGGTGGGACGAGAAGGCTTTCCAACTGTAGCGAGTTTGGCATACATTTGATTAGTTTTAAATGTACATATGCACATAGTAGTAAGCATTGAGTTGTAGCTGGTTGGTGCTGTTTCTTGAGCATCTTAGCATGTAGTGGTACTGATGTAGTTAACATCGTCATTCTTTATCAAATAGAGGACACAATTACTGCTCAGCCATTCTTTAGTGTGCACGTGACGAACGGCGTGACGGTGAAAGCACTTATGGTGAAGCGTCTGCGAGCCTTCCCCCAGAGCCCTTACCTGTCGCGCACCTTCCAAGCCGTTCATCCATTCCGGGATGCTTCGCCAACACCTCATCACCCTTTCGCCAGTCGCCCATCAAACCCCTGACGCTCGTCTGGAATATTCCAGTACACTGCTCTGCCCCTGCGACTCCACGTAGTCAGGGCAGGTGTGGCTCTCCTGCCCGGACCCCTTGCCAGTTTGTGGTGAGACCGCGTGTATTTCATGGAGGAAGAACCGCGCAATCCTCAAATCTTCACATCAAGCCTCCAGCTATTTCTGAACCAACCTCCAGTTGTTAGGAACTCTGCGAACTTTGATTGGTTTACCATAGCCGCCATCCATCCTGATTGTCCGTCACAGCCCAGCTGTATCATCTTGCCGATCTCCAACCCCTCTGGTTCCTCACCTCTGGCGCACAAACCACAACAAAATCGTGCCGTGCGTCCACGTGTTGCTTCCCTCCCCTCCTCCCGCTTTTTCGCCCTCCCCTCACTGCCACCCTCACCTGCGACTGGATCCCCTCACCACCACCCTTCCTCCCTCCCTGATTTTAGACGTTACCTCGCGCTTGTTTTCGATCCTCTCTCATCCCTTCCCATCTCCGCAGCTCGTTTGAGTTTGGGTTTGACCAGTGTGTCAGTGGTTGAGTTCCAGCTCTGACAGGCTTCAAGCTTCTCTCTCAAGGAGACTCCTAGTTCAGGTCTTCTACGCCATCGCCCCTCCAGCGATCGGCTAGATCAATCGTCCGCTGCCTTGCATTAGGGTTTCGGCAGTGAAAGCTGACCTTGCAGTTTGGGCCGGTTTTGGTTCTTTTTTCTGCCTGCAATTGTCTCCTCGAGCAGTACCATGGCTTCGCTGACCATGACTCACACGTGCGCGGCTGGTCAGGCAGCATCCTTCAATTCCCTTCTGAACTTGTCAAGACAGACAACACCAGTCACCGTATCCGCGTCGGTGGTTCCACGTGTGACCAACAGCCATGCCTCATCTTCATCGTCGCAGCCGTCTCGCTCGACTCCCCCAAACACGCCCTTCGTTCCGAATTCTAATTCTCCTCGCGCTCCTCTGGCACCGTCTCTTAAGGCTACCGTGACAGATTGCCCGCCGACCGACACCAAGTCTTCGAACATCACCCGCCAAGGAGACAGGGCGAATGGTTCACCTGCGGATAATTCGTCTCCGTCAGCTAATCTCCAAACTGATCCTCTGCCGGCCCTGTCTCTGGCGACAGCGGCACCTATTCTGAAGTACTCTCCTGAGGGCAAGCTGGTGGTGGGCGTGGGAACCATGTCGGAGGCCGATTGGGCTGCCGCCTTCGGCATCAACTCGGGCCATCTGATTCCCGTCACCGTCCCTCGCTCCGCGCAGCTGCTGCTTCCGTCGCCTGCCTCCAATTCTCGTCCCGCGCTGCCTCCTGCCGTGTCGAGCTCGCAAGACCCAGCTCCACGCTTTGCCGCGATTGTAGGACAGGCGGAATTGAATGGCTCGCTGGCCGCACCTCCTCAAAGCGAGAGCTTGGAGAGGGACGGTGCTGCGGCGGTGATGGAAGAGGATGTGTGGCTGCAGATTCGTGCCGAGGCACGTGCGGCTGCGGAGGAAGAGCCAGCTCTAGCGAGCTACCTGTACTCCACCGTGCTCACTCACAGATCGCTGGAACCAGCGCTTGCTGCGCACATTGCCAACAAGCTCTCGTCGCCCACCTTGCTCGCGTCGCACCTGTTCGAGCTCTTCAGGGAGACGTTTCTTGAAGACCGCAGCATTCAAGTCGCCATCCGGGCTGATCTGATGGCGGTGCGGCAGAAGGATCCAGCATGCGACGGCTTCCTCCTTTGCTTTCTGAACTACAAGGGATTCGCTGCTCTGCAGACTTACCGCGCGGCGCACAGGTTGTGGCAGCAGGGTCGATACAGTATGGCCATGGCGCTTCAGAACCGCATGTCGGAGGTGTTTCAGGTGGATATCCACCCCGCCGCGCAGATAGGCAAAGGGGTAATGCTGGATCACGCAACGGGAGTGGTAATTGGCGAGACCGCTGTTGTCGGAGACGAAGTGTCCATGCTGCACAATGTCACGCTTGGCGGTACTGGCGCCATTGCTGGTATTCGCCACCCACGCGTGGGCAGGGGTTCAGTCATTGGTGCAGGGGCCCGGATTCTCGGTCCTGTGACTCTGGGCGAACGGGTGAGGGTGGGAGCGGGTAGCCTGGTGTTGACAGACGTGGAGGCAGAAGCCACTGTGGTGGGCAACCCTGCGAAGATAGTGAGGAGGAAAGGTGATGGGAAAGGGAATGGAGGAGATGAGTTTGTGCTGGACTACGTCATCTAATTGTGATTCAGCTAGGCATGGGCTTCAGTCTAGTGCCTGGGAATTTGTTTGCTCGACATTTTTTTGTACATGATCCAACATTTATGAAAGTAGCGCAAATCCCATTTCATTGTCTATTTCATGAGTAGAATTGCTCTCAAACAAACTATCACTAGAAACTTAAAGAACGAATAATCCGACAGCTGTAATGATACCGCAGCAGTAACTGCTGGTGATGAATACCTATCCTTATTGGGCAAGTAAAATGTGACAACGCGTATGACGATGTTTTCAGCCCATCTCTCGTGATCGTGCAGCAGACGCACTGGGCCGGGGCACACATCGGTTGTCAGCGTCGCACGCACGAAGGAACCAAACCATCGCGCGGCGTCGTATGTCATAAGCACATCTTGAGCTTCGTTACAAGCGCACAAAGCGGCAGCAGCACTCCAGCGACCAGCCCATCAACAACACTCCTCTCCCGCCATAAACTGGACCTCTGTCGTCTTGCTCTCATTTTCAACTCAACCGCACCTCGAGCTTGTCTGCTGGTCTGCCTTGATTTCTCCTAACGTTTCTGACACAACTTTAGTTCAGTTCGATCATAGACGCAGGCGCAGATTGTCGCTTACACCCTGTTTCTCGCTATTGTGAATTCCGGTATACTGAACCCTCTGGCTCAACGCGCCAAATTACGCGCTATAGTCAACTTTTGCACCAGTTCGGTTTGACGAGGTCAGCTACCTTTGAGGACGGTCAGTTGAACTTTTAATATGGCTCGGTAGGGTACCCAGGTTAACGAAATTTCGGATCACCCGCCTCCTAGAGACGGTTATTGTAAACTTTTCGAATAAGTCCAACGAACAGTTCCACTGTTCAGTGTGTTTCCGCAGTTCAGTGTAGCGAGAAACAGGGTGTATTTGAGTGGTCCTTTCAGCTCCGTCCTCTGCAGACTTGCCGGAATGCTGCATGTGCGCCATGTTTGCAGTTAGCTCCCCAGCGACTTCTATGGAGGCCGTACAGCGAGGACCAAAGGTTGTTGCCCTCAGCATGGCTTCCCAAATGTCTATGCTTCCTTCAAGCCGTCCTCTCCATAGTCCTCCCCGCAACTTATCGTTATCGGCGCGCTTCCTCGCCTCCGCGCCTCGTGCCTCCCTAGTGTCGCCGTTACTCTCCGTTAGGTCGAGCAGATCGTGCACTCCGCGTGGGGGCGTGTCGCTGCTCTCAGATTTCGCGGGCCAAAGAATATCAGTCACGCCCGTCGGACACGACCGATTGTTACGAGGACGTGTGGGTGTGCGGCCGGCTTTAGCGCCGGGAGGGGCGGCAAAAACGGGGGATGGACGGATGCGCGGGGCCGTGGCTAAGGCCAAAGCCATCGATGCGCCGCGAAAGACTGAAGTGATTCGGTGAGGGTTTATGAAGGTCCAGCTGATGCGACACTGCCTGGCATTGGTTGTCGCATGCTTTACGCCAACCTAACAGTTAACCTGGCTTCCGGACCTGCCTTGCTCGCTGTTCGCTCCTCGACGAGCGCTAGGACACTGCGATAAGGGCCGCTATTCCGCGCCGACCCCATTCGCGCCACTCAATCGTCCCCATACCCTCGTGCCGATCCCCTCAGGCCCGCCCTCCTTGCTCTCTCCCCCCACTCCCCTTTCACATTCGCATTCTCCGTCCTTTCCACACAACCTGCTTTCCCCGCTGCGCGCGTTCGCGCGTGCCTCCTTCCCCGTGCGCAGGCTGAAGCAGAACCAGTGGGTGTACGACGTGTGCGTGGAGCGGCGCTGCACGGTGGCGGATATCCGCGCGCTCAACCCCACCGTCAACATCGACCGCGTCCTCGCCGGCCAGCGCCTCGTCGTGCCGCGCCGCCCCTCGCCCTTCGATCCCATCGAGCGCGAGCTCACCCGCGCCGCGCAGCAGCTCTCCACCACCTTCGCCGCTGGCCCAACCGGCGGCGCCGCGCGCACGCAAGCCACCACCGCCCCCGCCAGTGCCGACTCCGCCCCCGCTGCCTCCGCGAAAAAGCCCGCTGGAACCACTGCCCCCCCTGCTCCGACCGCCCCTCCCCCCGGTCCTTCCCCCTCCCTCCCTTCCGCAGCAGCCCCGTCCCCCCCCGCCGCGCCCACCGCGCCGTCCGCATCGACGCGCAGCACGAAGCCGGCTGCGCGCCCGTCCGGCGGGTCGTGGCTGGACTCGCTGCTGGGGGGCCCTGTGGGGGCCGGGCGGACCGAGGAGGTGGAGGAGTACGTGTTGAAGCGCAAGGAGTGGGTGTGTGACGTGGCGAGCCGCCTTGACGTGGACATCGAGTATCTGCGGCGCCTCAACCCCGGCGTCAATCTCGACAACGTGCGCCCCAAGCAGCGCATCAACGTCCCCAAGAGCCGCGCCGCGCGCCTCCGTCAGCAGCCGACGGCGGCAAGCGGGGCTGACGTGGCAGGGACCGGGTCGAAAGGGGGAAAGGATGCGGAAGAGAAGAAGGGGAAGGAGGGTGGCGGGTTAGCGACAGGGGATGCAGGGGAGAGGGACGGCAGGGCAAAGGGGGTTGGCGCGTCGCTGAAGAGCGTTGACGCGGGGAGTAAAGCCGCGGTCGTGGCGGAGGCTACAGCGTCCGCTTCCGCCTCCGCAGCTGCTTCCCGCGATAAGCCTTCCGCGCGTCAAGCCGCAACCGTTGCGGCTCCCCCTCTCTGTCCCGTTCCCCCATCCGTCCCATCTCCCTCCCCTGCCCCCTCGCCGTCCCCGTCCGCACCATCTGCGCCATCCGCCGTCGCGCCCGTGTGCGCGCCTCCGCCCATCTGCAAGCCGCCCGCCTCGGCGGGGCGGGAAGGGGCCAGTGCAGGCAGCCAATCGGGCGGCGACCTGTGCGCGGTGCCAGAGGCCAAGGGCGCAGGTGCCGCGCGCGAGGCGAAGGGGGGTCCGGCGCAGGGTGTTGCGGCGGCTGGCGCGGCGGTGGGGGGAGTTGGCGGAAGCAGAGGGGCGCCGGCAGCGGAGGCATCGTTTTTCGAGGCGCTGATTCGGGGTATGGGTGGGGACGGCAAGCAGAAAGACGGCGCGGGGGGGACGCGGGAGAAACAGCAGCAAAAGGCGGCAGAAGCAGCAGCGCCCGCGAAGCAGCAAAAGCATCAACAGCAACAGCAGGCTCCGCAGGTGCCGCAGCAGCAGCAGGCACAGGCACAGGCGCAGCAGAAGGGGCAGGCGCAGGGGCAGCAAGGAGTGAATCAGAGATGGCGGGTGCACAGGGTACGGCGAGGGGAGTGGATATCCTCGTTAGCAGCGGACTACGGGCTTACAGTGGAGCAGCTACAGGACATGAACCCGGGCGTCGATCTCGCTAAAGTGAAGCCTGCGGACGAGATCCGCGTTCCTGCGGGGCGCAGGCGCGCAACGGGCGCGGCGCTCCCGCTGGATCCAGCGGACGTGGAGGCCATGGGGGGCGCGCTCGTGGTGGCGGCTGGCGGGGCGGACAAAGGCGGCGGAGGCGGACCAGCAGCGGCTGGGGGGGCCAGCGGCGGGCAGCAGGGGCCCGCGGGCGGGGCAGCGGGGGCGCATCTGGCGGGCGCGCGCGTGGGGATGGTGATGCCGGGGGACAGCTTGGCGGACATCGCGGAGCGGTACGGCGTGGCGTGGCAGGAGCTGGCGGAGCGCAACGGCGTGCGCGAGGGCGAGGAGGGCGGCGGGCTGCAGGTGGGGCAGATCCTCATCATCCCGGAGAAGAAGGCGCAGCAGGTGGCGTCCATCGGGGGCGTCGGGCACTGGCTCGGCTGGCAGCCCGCGGGGGGGAGAGGTGGAGCGGCGGCGGGCGGGGGTGCGATTCTGTCGCAGGCGCCTGCGGGGGTGTCAGTGTCGCTGTCCATTGCGCTGGTGGTCGCGTCGTCTCTTGCAGCTGCCGCCATCATGCGCCTCAACGCGCCGCTGCTCTCCGCGTCTGGCGCGGGAGGGCTCGTTTCCAGCCTGCAAGCGCTGCCGTCGCGACTGCCAGAGCCCATCGCGAGTGCGTGGGCGCAGGTTACGCGGGGCCGCGGCACGGACGGCGCTGCAGCAGGCGCGTCGCTGTCGCCCCTGCGCGATTCCGCCACGGCCCCCACGTGGGTGGTGCCGCCTGGGTGGTCCGCGCCGACCCACGCGGACATGCGCACCATCCTCGCGCTCTCCTCCCTCTCCCCCTCCTCCCCCTCGCTCGGCGGCCTGCTCGCGTCGCAGGGCGTCGCCACGTCAGCCGCGCTGCTGCCCGCCATAGACGCCGCGTGCCGCGCTGCAGCGGACTCGTTCCTCGCGTCCGGGCCCGTCCTAGCCGCCGTCTCGCTGCTCCGCGCGCCCCGCGCCGACCCCAGTCTCCTGCGCCTGCTGCCCTTCCGCCAGCGCCCGAAAGCGGGGAAGGCGGGGGTGTTGGGCGCGCAGGGGTTGGGCGGGGCGGACGGGCGAGGGTTGGCGCGGGTGGCGCTGGCAGCAGTGCCGCAACTGGTGGTGGGGAGTGAGGTCATAGGCGCATGCGTGTGGGCGGAGGGAGGGGAAGGAGCGGCAGGGGGTGCGGTAGATGGGGTGGCGGTGAGGGGCGCTGAAGGGGCAGGGGACGGCGGGGAGGAGCAGTACTCGGTGGGGGTGCTGCTCATGTCACTGCCGCCAGGGATGCGCATGGCAAGTGCTGTCATTGGCGAGGGGCAGGGGGGGGAGCAAGGGGAGGGCAAGGGGAGTGGTGCAAGTGGGAGCGAAGCGGTGGCGTCAGCTCTTGCGGTGGCAGTGGGCAGACTGACTGAGGCCATGGAGCAGGTATGCACACACACACACGCACTGCTGATTAACGTCGCTGTGCACTTGCACCCACTGTCATCAGACGTTTGAGAGTGAGCCAGTGATGCAGACCCATCCATCCCTCCACGCCCTCCTGCTCCATCCCCCCCTCACAACTCTCATCCATCTGTGCCCGTCCTCTCCGCGCCTGTTCCTCACCCCACCCGCTTCTCCCTCCCTCTCTCCCCCTCCCTCCCCATGCACCACATTCAACATGGCCCATCACACCAGGACCCGCTTCAGCCGTCGCCGCGCCTCTCGTCGCTGCTCGCCTTGTTGCCCTGCGATGCTGCATCCTCAGCAGCCGACATTGTAAGCACCCTGCCCTGCCTGCTCTCCTTCCCTTAGCGCCTCCACCCACCCACCCACCCACCCACCCCCCTTTCCATTCTAAAGTGCTACTTGATTCATCCACCCATCCTGCCATGCTGAGTCATGCACCCCTCCCCTTCCCATTGTCCATTTCGAAGCACCTCACCTCACCTCACCTCACCTCACCGCCTGTCCCCCAACCACCCCACCGCCCCCCTCCGTGCAGCTGGCATCCCTGGTACCGGACACGTCCCTGTACCTCATCGCATCATCGCCCAGCCCCTCGCCGCGCCCGCACTGGCACGTCTCTCCGCCGCTCGACTCCACTCCAGATGCAGCAGCGGCAGCGGCGGCGGCAGCAGCAGGGCGCGTGGGGGAGGGGGTGACGGTGGTGGGGATAGCAGAGGGCGTGGATCTGAACGGGGCGTTTGTGGCATCGGTGTTGGGGCAGTGGCTGTATGGGCCCAATGTCACGCTCCTGTCTGTGCCCCCCGCCAAGAAGCGAAGGGAAGCCATCAGCTCATAGGCCCACTCATTATCCCGTCTTGGCCTGTCATCCCTTTATGTTTAGGAGCCTGGGCTTAGGGCTTGAGTAGTGGGAGTGTGCTGGGGGAAAGGGGTGGGGGAGAGGTAGGATGCAGTGATAGCAAGCACAAGGTGTGGGCATGCAGAGGGCCTGAGGGCCCTATGTAGAATCTTGGAATCTAGCAGCAGCTCTGTAGGTGGTTCCACTAGGTGGTTCGGTTGCCATAGCTCGTATCTTGCTATGCCACTAATGGCTTGCTATAACATGACCCAGTGCTTGACAAGCCTGCGGAGTAGATTCCCTAATGCGATAGTTGCAAAACTTTATGTAGATGAAGCTGTTTATTTTGTTTGTGCCACTTCTGCAGGTCCTAGGCAGTGGTTGTAGCAGGCAAGGCTGGCCCGCTAGTTGAGAGGATTAAGAGACGGCAGGAGACAGCAAGGAAGCAGGATGTGGGTTTGCACGGGTAGGACGCAGTGCACGTGTTCGACCTCTGGTCGCTGCTGAGTCAAAATGCAAGGCTTGCACAACCCAGGACCCAGGAGGACCCGTGTGCATGAGGTACGTTATGTATGGAGCGCGATGATGCATGCACACGGCGGGTCCACGGCGCCATGTGTCACACATCAAGGTACTCGCACTCGTGCAGCCTCTCTAGAATCTGCTCAAAATTGGGCCGCCTCTCTGGGTCGTCCTCCCAGCAGTCTGCCACCCAAGGCACCGGGGAAAAAAAGGGGGAGGGGGTGGGAGAATAGGTACGAGGCAGGAGTGGGAGATACTAAGGTTCACAGATCAAAGCGAAATTGACACAAGGGAAATTCACACAACGGAAATTCACACAAGGGAAATTCACACAAGGGAAATTCACACAAGGGAAATTCACACAAGGGTAATTCACTTGAGAGTGTGAGGGGATGCAAGTAGTGTGTGGTGTGTGGGACTGTGCTTGTGTGCGCTTGGGCCTGCTGGCTGCAGGAGGAAGAAAGGTTGCTGTTGGAGAGAAGATGGAGCACAGGAGGGGAGTGAGGTGTTGTGGGCAGGAGAGGTGTACCTGCTATGAGCTGCCCCAGCATGCCGTCTGGTACAGGCAGGCGCGCATTGCGATGCGCCACCGCGTATGCCACCTGCCACACATGCACACATGCAGGCAAGTGAGCACAGGGACATGCCAACACCATTGGGAGGCAGGCATTCGCGTTCAGATGGAATCACCAAGAATGCTGATCACCCCACTGCACTGCGCTGCTCACACCTTTCCCTTCCCCCACTTCCCCCCTCTACCCCTCCCCCATCCCCTCCCTCCCCTTCTTCCCCTATTCCCCTCCCCTCCTCCCCTCCCTCCCTGCCTCCCTCCCTCCCATCCCTCCCCAAACGCCCCTTCCCCCCCCCTCCACACCTCAAGCGGGTTCTGGACGTCCTCCCAGGGGCGGCGCAGCGTGACGAGCTCCCACATGATAACGCCCATGCTGAACACGTCGCACTTGAAGGAGCAGCGCTCGTTGCGCAGCAGCTCCGGCGCCATCCACTCGGGCGTGCCGGCCGCCGTGCGGCCCACCACGTGGCCGTCGGGGGCGAGGCGAGAGAGGCCAAAGTCACAGATCTTGACGCACCAGTGCTTGTCCACCAGGCAGTTGGCTGACTTGAGGTCCCGGTGCACTATGCTCATGCGCTGCACGCATAGCATGCCCCTGGTGGTGTGGGGGGGGGGAGAGAGGACATAGGGAGTGGAGCGGGTGGAGGAGGTGGAGGGGGAGGAATAGATGGTTGCGGACGCTGAGGATTGAGAATATGGGCCGGCAGGGGGGGAACTATGCAGTGGCGTGCGCATATGTGACCAGAGCAGTGGTTGTATGCCCGAGTGTCCCCCACGACCACCTCCGGGTAGGCTATCACCAACTCCGAGTGTCCCCCACGATCACCACTCCCGGTACTCCCGTCCATCCCTCCCTAACCTCTGCTACACTTCCCCTTGCCGCACTTCCCCTTGCCGCCCAAAGCCACCACCCAGTGCTGCCATCCCTTCCCATCCCAACCTGTAACCCCCTACTCAACCTCGATCCATTCGCTCCCACCACGGTCCCCCTTCCCCCCACCTGCAGATATCCCGGAGCATCTTGTAGCGGCGCTTCCAGCTGAGGGACTCGCCGCCCTGGCCGGGCTCGCGCGAGTGGATGATGCGGTAGAGCGACCCCATGTGCATGTACTCCGTCACCATGCACACCTGCGGCGCCTGCACACACGCCCCCATAAATAGCAGCACTGGGGGACGGGGGAGGGGTTGCGGGGGCGGGGGGGGAGGGGGCGTTGAAGGTGGAGTTAGGAGGGTATTCTTTGAGGAGTGGCGGGGGGAATGTTGGGGGAGGATGGAAGGGAGGAAGGGGGGATGGAAGGGGAGAAATGGAACGGAATGGAATGGGTGGCTGAAGGGGAGGTGATGGGTGTTTGCGAGGGCTGTGAGAGAGGCGTGGTGTAACCAGCAGGATGCATGTGCGATGGGGTACATACGTGGGCAAGCGGGGACAGGGCAAGGGAAGAAAAGGGGAGGGGAGGGGAGGGCTCAGAGGAGAGAGGCGCATGAAGCGAGACACTTGATATGTGCGAGGAGGAGAAGGAGAAGTACCATTGGGGTGGCGCAGACGACTGTTGAGAAGTAGCGTGGAGCAAGATGTATGGTGTTGCAGGATACATGCACACACACACACACATGCACTCATGCACACACACACACACACACCAGACAAGCACACACACGCACACAGACACACATGCAATGTAAGGGATAGGTGAGTCGAGAGCGAGCTGTACAGCACGCACAAAGCATGTGGGGTTACCTCAGCAATTAAGAAGGTGCGCATGCACGGCTGCATGGATGGCAGAGCATGGCGATGAGAATGGAATGGCAGTGGGAACGCGAATGCGGCAGTGAGGAGGCAGCAGGGAGCGAGTGGAGACCTGAGCAGCGAGACCTCGTTGTAGAAGTCCTCGTACTCCTCCGGTGATGGGTCGTCCTGCACCAACAGCCGCTTCACCGCCACCTCCGTTCCCCTCCACACCGCTCTGAACACCTCCCCGAACGACCCTGCACCCAGCACCAGGAAGGGAGGCAACAAGAAGTATCCAAAGAAGAGAGGACACGCTTGAGTGGAGAATCAAGAACAGAATACGTGGAAGCATGAGCAGGGGATGGCAGGGGAGAATCAAGAGCGAGCAGAGGCGAGGCACAAGGTAAGCAAGCACGCACCAATGCCCACTCGGATGCCCAGGCGCAGCTCGTTGAAGTCAATGGTCCACTGCTCGCTGCCCAGCACAGCCTGTGCTGCCACGGGTGGCGCTGGCACCAGTGCCGCGGGAGCAGCAGGCAGCGCAGCAGCAGCAGCGGGCACGGCCTGGCGCTGACTCCCCGGTGCAGACGACAGCGCTCCACTGCCCGGGGCTGAAGCACCGGGGGGCGTGGGGCGCCGCAGAGAGGCCGGGTGGGAGGAGGCGGGTGGCGGTGGCGAGGCGGGGTGCTGTGGGCGAGGGGAGGCGGACTGGAGAGGGCTGACGTAGCCTGAGCTGCCACTGGCGTTGCCCAGGGATGGTTGTGACCTATGGCTCATGCCCGCCCGCTGCCGCTGCACATCCCCACCGCTCTCACCCGCACCCACACCTGCACCTTCACCTGCTGCGTCTGTTGCTGTCCCTGACTGCTCCCCATCTCCTACCTCCTTCCCCTCTGCTCCTTGTTTCTGAGAACCCTCTGCGTCCTGACCTTGCTGCGCTGTTGCTCCCTCCTCTCCCGCCCTCCCCTCTTCACCCTTCTCCTCCCCACTTCTTTCCTCGCCACATCTCTCCTCTCGACCTACTTCCTTCCCACCTTTCCCTTCGCCACCGTTTTCCACACCACTTTCATCTTCCACACCACCCTCTTTTCCCTCCCCTCTGCACCTCCTTTCCTCCCCATCCACTCTCCCTGCCTCTTCTCTTCCTTGCCCCTCCCCCATGTTTCCGCCCTCCCCGCCACCCTCCCCACTGCCCTCCCCGCCAGCCCTAGAACCCTCGCCTGTGCCCCCAGCGTCCCCCTCGTCTGCCCTCACTCCCCCCGCTTCCTCTCCCCCACCCTCCCCTGCACGCTGCTCTTCTCCTCCCAGCTGCCCCGGCCCCCCACCACTGGAGTCACGAGAGAGTGAGGGAGCAGCAGCAGCAGGTGGAGCAGCGGTGGCGGAGGTGGCAGCGGGGGTGGTGGCGGTGGAGGGGGTGGTGGCAGCAGTGGCGGGGACGGCAGGGGAGAGCTGTGCTGTGGTGAGCGGCCAGTGCTGGTGGCACGTGGGACACACACGCTGGGCAGGGCGCAGGGGAAGGGCATGGCACGTGGGAGGGAAGGGAGAGGAGTCCGAGGTGGGAGGAACAGAGTTGAATAAGAGTGGATGAGGACATGGAAAAGGATATATGGAAAAGGGGATACTGGACGGGATGCGGTGAGACGAGGAGAGGATGCAGGAGGTGGTGCAGTGAGATGCTGTGGCGGGAGACATGCTGATAGCTCGCAAGGGCATGGCAGGAGGACGGGGGGGGGAGGCAGGGAAGAGGCCGAGAAAGAGGCAGTGGAAGAAGACAGAGACAGGGACTGACCAGGACAGAGGAGAAGAGCGCGGCTGAGACGGAGGTGGAGGAGGTGGGGGGGAGCGGCGAGGGAGCAGTGGAGAGGTCGCTGCCATCAGCCGTGAGCTGCTGCTCCCCCGCTGCTGCTGTTGCTGTCTCCACTCTCAACGCCCTCCTGTCCCTGCGAATCGCCTCGTTGTACTCCCGCACCTTCCTGGAAGCACCCAACCATGCAAGCAGAGCAGTGAGGTGCGTTAGGAGGAGCGCATGGACACGGGTACTGTGGAAAGAGCATGGCATAGACACTCACGAGGAGACAATGGCAGGGTAGGGCATGGCATGGCGTGTCGTGGCATGGCATGGCATGGCATGGCATGGGGGTGCAGTGTGCGCGGCAAGGCGTGACTCACTTGGCGACCTCATCGCTGACCTCCGGTGCTGTCGTGCGCCGCCTCCCCCTGCTCGCACCCACGCAGGGGCATGGGCACGGGGGGAGAGGGCGGGAAGGGGGAGCAGATGGGGGAAGAGGGTGGAGGGGAGAGGGTGGGGAGGAGAGGGTGGAAGAGAGAGGGATGGCGGGAAAAGGAGAGCAGAATGCTGAGGAGCGGCGGATGGGATAATGGGAGCAGACATGCGAGAAGCTGAGCAGTGGCTGGAGGCAGGGAGTGGCACGGTTTCATGGGTTCAATTGTGAGCATGTGAAAGATGCATTGCACGGTGCATGGTGCATGGTGCATGGTGCATGGTGCACGGTGCATGGTGCATGGTGCATTGTTGAATCATAGCAGAGCGGCGACCAGTAGGGCGTGAGGGTGGTGGAGCAGGCAGCAGCAGTCTCACCGTGGAGCAGATGGTTCTCCCACTCCTCTGCGTGGGGGCGGTGTGGGCAGGAACGTGCGATTCCTGCCATTCCATGCCATGCCACACCAGGGGCAACAAGGGAGGTCGATAAGGCAACGGAAGTTGAAGCAAGTGAGCAACCAAACATAGCTAGACAGCAGCTTCCCACACACTCCCTGCACCCCCTGCACGCATGCCTTGCATCCCTATCTATACCCAAGCGCCCTGTCCGCCCACCCCACACGTACTGCTCCATGCCTGCCGCTGAGACCTCTGCCGAGCCGTCCGCAGCAGAGTAGGTGCGGCGGCGCACGAGAGGGGGAGCCGGCTCAAAGGGGCCCACAGGGGGCGTGGGGGCCAGCCCCCCTGGCGGGGCGCCTGCACCCATTGTGGACGAACTTGATGCTGCTGCATCCCCGCCCAATATTGAGCTGATTCAAGAGAGGGGAGGGGACATGGTGCAGGTGCGGGTGTGGGTGCGGGATGCAGAGAGGAATGGGATGTTGTGACTACATTGCAACATAGCATTGTATGGCATGGTTTGGCACCGCACAGCACAGCACAGCACAGCACAGCACCGAAAAGCACGGCACAGCAGGGCGTGCAACACACCTGGGCGGGAGTTGCCTGGAGTCCTCAACATCTGACCCCACAGTGTTGCGCCGGTATTGACTGCACACAGCAGAGAGCGTACACACGAGCCCACATGCGCACCGTCAGGGAGAGAGTGCACGCGCGAAGGTGCGAGAGAAGGTGTGAGGGTACGTGCGAGAGAAGGTGCAAGAGAGAAAGAGGAAGGGCAGGAGAAGGAAGGGAAGGGTAAGGCTTTGCACCTGTGGGAGGAGGAGTTGTCGAAGGAGCGTCTGTGCATGGGCGCCAGGGACGCCCTGGTTCGCGCTGACATGAACGAATGGTCTGACATGCTGCCATCCGACCTGCCATGCCATGGCACACCCATGCACATAGCACCAGCGAGGGTGTGGTGTTACGGGTGTGAACCTCATGTGCTGTATGCATGCCGCTGTGCACTATACGTTGTGCCACCACACATGCCTGGCTGGCCATGCAACCACAGCGCAGCGCCACAGCATGGGGTAAGCTCAGCATTTTGAGCGCAGTGTGTGTGATGCGAGCAGGGAGCATGTGAGGATCAGACGAGCAGCACAGTCCACCACACAGCTCACCTTCCTGCGCCTGGCGGCACTGGTCCTCCCATTGCCGCTGCCTGCATTCCCCCCATTGCACCCATCCCCCCTGCTCCTGCAGCGAGTGTGGCAGCAGAGGAGGGCGGCGTGGGCGAGTCGTAGCCCGAGCTCACAGCTGCCACGGCTGCTGCAGCTGCCGACCCCATCCTCTTGTCCGACCTTGACCAATATGCCTGCGCTGCCTCAGGACTGCCACACACACGCTCACATGGCATGCCACGCACGGGAGCAGAGCAGGAGAGATGAGATGAGGCGGCTGGAATGGGCTCCCATGCCTGCCGGGATCCTGAAGAACCTGCCAGGTCATACTAGCAGCGGTCACAAGTTGAACACAACACAACAGCAGCAGTCACAAGTGGTGCAGGAGGGGGATGTTTGTGCGCTGTACGGTTGTATGTAGTACCTGGTTTCAACGCTGCCAGAGGGGGGTGTGTGGCGCATGAGGTAGGCGGCAGCGCGTGTGGTCATGGCAACCGCGCCCTCGGACTCGCTCACAGCGCCGCTCAGCATGGACATGCGCTCGTACCGCCCTGGACCCCCCTCGCCACCACTCATGAAGCCGCGCTCACACGCGTTGGCCGACCGTGAGTGCTGCATGTGCGTTCTGTGACGCACGGGTGGGATGAGGGAGGAGAGATGAGGGGCTGCGAGGATGGGCAGGATTAGATGGCTGCGAGAGAAAGGCCTGCAAAAGAAAGCAGATGTGGTCCCAGGAGCACAGCTCACAGACTGGTGATAACGATGCCGCCCCTTGCAGGGTTTTTTATTCTCTGTGAATCGCCCCTGCAGGTAAGGCCAGTGCACTCACATGGCAGATTCTCTCTTTCTCCCACACACACACACTTTCCGTGCCTCCTCCCCCAAAAGCCTACCCCTCCCTCTTGCCCCACGGAACGGACCTGCCTGCGAGGTGGCCCAGCCTGTCCTCCTGCATGGCCCTGCGCCTGCTGCGGTGGCGCCGCATGTTGCCCTCGGGCTCACTCGTTGGACTGCCAGCACCAGGGGACACAACGCCGCCACGCCACACCAGCCACGGGAAGTTAGGGATGAGCAATCAAGCAGGGTTGGGGGAGAGAAACAAGGAAGTGTGGAAGGAGAAGCCAAGGCAGGGGTTACCCAGGGCGGAAGTTAGAGCTACCTGGCAGGCTGGCATCAATTGCACGCCAACAAGAACAAATGCAACAATACAGAGCCTGCGAGTGCGAGCCGCTCAGCTTCTCCCGCTGCAACCCCAGCCCATGCAGCAGTGTTTGCCATCCCTTGCCTCTCCGCTTCCCGCTTCGTGTGTAACTCACCTGAGCGCGTTCCCCGAGGGTGCAGCAACAGACGGAATGGCGAGGGCTGAGGGCGGCGCATAGGCGGCAGGGCAGCGGGAGGAGGCGCCAGAGAGGTACGACATGTAGCGCTCCACACTGCAGAGGCACGCACATGGGCGCGCAGGACACACACCGGGGGCACGAGCGGCCGTGAGGGACAGGAATGCATGGTCGGGCGGAGAGAATAGGGCGAGAGGAGGGTGAGAACAGGACGAGAAAACGAAAGAGTGGCGGATGGAAGGCAGGGTGAGAGGAGCAGAGGGTTTCGAGCAGGGCTCACGAGCGAGTGGCGGCGGCAACGCCTGTGCCTGAGACGCCAGCGGCGGCGGCATCGAGGGGCGTGGGTGCACGCATGGGGTGCGCTGAGAGGGCGGGCTGTGAGAGAGCCGCGTCCACTGGGTCCAGTGACGACCCCGTCAGTGATGACAGCGACGGACCCCCTCGCGCACTGGCGGGGGGGAGGCACGCAGGGGACGGGGGAAGGGGCGAAGGGCGAGAGGCGAGGGGCGAGGGTGCAGGGGAAGGGGCGAAGAGGAAGGGGCGAAGGGTGAGGAGGAAGGGGCGAGGGGCGAGGGGGGGATGGTAGAGGGACACACAAAGGAACATTGCAGACGGATTTGGAGTATGCACTGTGCAGCAGTGGAGGACACGTGGGGCGAGTCGTGACGAAGAGGCAGGGTGCGAGAAGAGGCGAAGATCCAATCAGGTCAGGTGGGAATGGTGCAGCAGCAGCAGCAGCAGTAGAAGGCGGGAGAGAGCGTACCTGGATCGGAAGGGGTCCATGTTATCACTGAGAAGGGACGGCCGTCGAGCAAACTCATGGCTGCACCCATCACACACATAGAGGGGCAGCAGTGGCGGCCAGCGGGCCATGCACGGTGTGCGTGAGTGAGTGCGAAGAGACAAGTCGTCACGATCAAGGCCTACCAATGTCCGACCCCCCCCTGCGTGCTTTGCATTTCCGTGTCGTCTGAGGGCTCACCTGGGGCGGCCGCTTTCCAGGTTGTCATTCAGCAGTGATGGACGGCGAGAGAACTCGTTCCTGCTCAGTACCAGTCGACAAACACGCACGAACAATGGGAACCTCTTGCCATGAGTACACGGGGCAATGAACCGCAAAGGCGAATGCGCTTCCTACATCAATGTCCACGATATATTGGCTTGCCAAGGCCGTCGCTGTCTGCTAGCCGCCCACACCCCGGGACCCACCCAGGTTCGAGGAAGGAGCACGAATCGAGATCGCGGCGCTGCGAGCGGGCGCGGGAGGACATGAACGGAAGCTCGCCGCCGCTGCCGTACCCCTCGCGACTGCCCATGGCGCCGCCACTCGCGCCACTCGCACTGGCACTGCGCCGTCGCTACAGCCCCCGCCCCAACGTGATGATCGCTGCTAGCGAAACCGTCGCGAACCGGTAACGGCTTCCAATGTCGTGGCGAAAGGATTGGCGCGCGCGCCCTACATAGGGCCGGCTGATGCTGTCCGTGCTGTCAAGGTTCTGCTGCCCCCTCTCGCTCTAATCGACGGCTGCGACTACCTCCCAAATCTGACGTCAGCGAGTCACAGGCGGACACGTATGCAAGAGGTTGAGGGATTGGTGAGACGTGACAGGTGGCAGCGCGGTGATCGCGTTGCGGGATGGTCAGTTGGCAAGACGCTTGCCAGCGAGGCAAGGGGCGAGGAGAGGAGAAGGAGAAGCAGTCAACTAGCTGACGGGAAGAACGGCGAGTGCACGAAACTGGATCGCCGCACGCGGAAGGAACGGGGGACAATGCTAGAACGACGCGGCGGTGCCTGCCAGCATCAATGAAGATGGCGGAAGGAACGATGGGTTGCGGAGTGTTGACGATGTTGGGAAGAAAGAAAGACTCCTGATTTTGATGACTACCGCAATCTGACGCACATTAAGAAAGGTGGTCTCCGGGAAGAACAGTGGGATGCAGCGGGGATTGCGATGAGTGCGGGCAAAAATCCTGTCCTGCACGCAGATAGATGAAGAGACTGAGCTCTTCGCCACTACTCTCGGCGGCCACTTAAGATCGACGAGCAAGGTGCGAGATTGACGCACACAGAGCCACTGGGATCCCGCAGCACAGACCTTGCCACTCGCCTCGCTCGGCCTGACACAAACTTCGGCGTGCGATGTCAATGTCAGAGCAAGAGAGCCGCATAGAAGGCTGGCAAGAAGCTACGGTAAAGGATCGGTCTCGCGAGCTTGACAGTAGTCTTAAGGCTCGACCGGGAAGCCATGATCCAGGAGAGCACTGAGCGGCAGAAGCGGCAGGATGAAGTCTTGCTTTCAGACCAGTCCAGGCACGAGAGTGAAGGAGAGGTTGGTCTTGGGTACCCTGACTTGGGATGGGGTGAGGAGAAATGAATCCACGACCATCGCAAGCCTCGCAAAAGTTGCTGCGACTTCCTTGCACCGTGGCGAAGATCGCAAACTTGATGACGACACCTTGGGATGACTGCCCGACGTTACCTCGGTAACATCCAGTCGCCCTCCACACACATACGCACTCGGACTCTCACGAGTTAGCCGAATCCCAAGATTTCAGGATAATTGGATACAGGGCTGGGCGAGTGGTACGACGGATATGATATGGACGGGAGTGGGATGATCACCACCGCTCTATGTGTTGTGTCGTGGCTGGATTGAGTTCTACAGTTTCGATTACATTCCGTTTATATGCGATCATCGAACAACTCAAATCTGGGTACAGTATTTGTGGAAGGTAATCAAATTTCACTATTGAGATCATTTGGGCAGTAGTCCACCCTCGCTTTCTCGCATGCAGGTTTCCCCCCGTTCTTGGGATTGTCACATCCACGGAGTAGACCTTGCAGAGGTGGTTTGAATCTGGATACGTATAAAGAGGGTGCTGCCATGTATCATAGCTTGGATCCATCTGTAACCCACATAGATCCACAAGAGTGAATCACTGATTCCTTGTAGTTACCTAGGCTCATCGTTCATGTTCCATAGTGACGTAACTGAACATTGGTCTAGCGCATTCCTGTAGTGCCTCCCGCTCTTTGTCCGCCTTCCTTCTCTTGTGTCTCCTCGCGCGCAAGTTTCTTTTAGTGGTCGGTGCCGATGGCTGCGGACGGTAAGTCGGTGCAGGCGGTGAAGGGGCTGGACATAGCCGTGATGGCGGGGAAGTGGTACACCATAGCCAGCATCCCGCCCAAGGGGCAACCGACGGACAGCAGCGGCAACACGACAACGTACACGGTGAACAAGGACGGGGCGAGCCTCAAGGTGGTCAACGAAGCCATCATGGCCAGCGGCAAACACGGGAAAGTGGAGGTGCGACCATGAGGAATGAGAGTCAGTGAGGGACCAAGGAAAGAGGAGGAGAAGAGAGGGTAAGCACGAACTTCCAACTCATTCTGCCGGTTTTCTCCACTCTACCCTCGACATCTCTTCCCTACCCTTGGCATCTATTCCCTGCTTCAGGGTAAGCTGGCGAAGGCGAAAGACGCAGGCGACGAGGCGCGGTTTGGGCAGACGTTATGGGTGCCGCCGTTTGCGCCCATCATTCCTGTGCACACGGACATCTGGGTTATGGCGACGGAGGAAGGCGAGAACCCCCAGTACATGCTGCACGGCCAGCCCGCTAAGCAGGCGCTCTGGGTACGTGTAGGGCAAATGAGCGAGTGAGGGAGAATCATGGGCGAAAGCGAGTGAGAAGATGTACGACAGCAGTTAGAGGACGTGGCACTAAATTGTCAGTGAGGCACATTGTACGTTGAACCTGGTAGTGGCCCATTGCCCTATTTGTTGCCATCCGTGCCTCTCTGCTCAGCCTCACTGGACTCAGTTGTACTGTGCCTGACGGTTACTCCATGGGGTGGCTTATGTCTTTCCTGTATGCAGATACACAGCAGAACTCCGGAGTTGCCTAAGGAGATTGTTGATAAGCTGCTGCAGGTAAGGAGCCACTCGTGTGCCATCCATTCCTTGGTGCTTGCCATGGCATATCCTGTTCCAAGGACTGCGTTCATTGACTTCCTTTCACATGCCCTCCATGTTCCGCCCACAGATGGCTGCTGACCAAGGATTCGACTTGAGCAAGCTCATCTATTACAAGCAATCTACTCCAGAGCCTTCAACCTGAAGAATATTGTAATAGTTGCCCGATGAAAGGATGAGATGTCATGTCTGTAGTGGTGTTTGTGGAGTAGTAAAAAAAAATGTTCGCACCCAGTGAACAATGTTTTGGTTTTTTATTCCATGCAGGATGATTTAAAATTCACGTTGAGTATATAGTTGTGGAATTGAATGTCCTAAACCAATCTCTGTAGAATTGTTACAAAACTCTCCCCAATTGGCGATCTTGCCAGTTTTGCCACCTAGCTTTTCACCTAGCGCCCAGTCAGCGTCGCCTGTCGTGCACACAAGGGTCACATCCATCAAAGCCACATTGACGTGTCAGCTGATCTCTTCCCTCCATCGGTCCATGTCATCACTGGCCCGTCTCCCCTTCCCGTTTCTTCCTTGCACACCCAGCCCGCTCCACCCCTCCCTCGCCCCCCTCGCAAACTCATTTCTGCTGTGCTCTGCTCTGCTGTGCTTGCTATTCCCGCGCCTATCCACCTTTCCTCAACCTTGCTTCACCTCCCAACCATGGCGGCCGCCAAGTCCCTCCTCTCCAGCCATGCTGTTGTGAGTGCCTCTTCATTGCCATCTTTTCGAGTTCTAGGGAGATGATTATTTTTCTGGTCCATGCATCATATCTTCTCGTCAATTCGATTTCACGAATTCGCGCTGGCCATTGCATCATGCCTCACCGTTGTTCAGCGAAATCGCAGCTGAGATTCGTTTTCTTGCCGACTCGTGCTCTTTCCCCATACATCTCATCCCTTCCGGCTCTATCCCGTCCATCGCACTCGCTTCCGTGGTCTACGCCTGTAGCTGGTCACGCATATCACACACGCATCCTTCCCCGCCACCGCGTTCCCTCGCTTAATCATCCTCTCCCCCACCTGTCTGCCACTGTCTCGTCGTGTCCCGAGCAGCAAGCCGTGTCGCGCGTGTCCATGGCTGCGACCGTGAGATCGCGCGTGGTCGCCGCGTCCTTCATGGCGCCGGCTCGTTCCTCGGCGTCGTCCCTCGCGGCGTCGTCGTCGTCGCTCATGTCGCCGCTCTCCGCGGCGTCCCTGGCGCCCGCCACCACCCGCCGTCAAGTCTCGTCCTTCTCCACGGCGCCCCGCGCTCAGGTGGGCTGGCTGTGCTCCGCGTTTGCTGACCAGCCCTACTTTCAGTTCGCGACGTGTCGTCCATGTCGCAAGTTCGCCATAATATTGTGTAACTTATCTATCGCCATCGTTTCCTCTTCTCCCCCTCCCCGCCCTCTTTCCCCCTCCCCCCGCGTCTACACCTTCCCCCCGTATTTCCCTCCGAATTACTACCCCCCGCGCGCCTCCCTCTCCTCCCCCTGCGCGGCATGCGCGCGAGCAGGCGGGGGCGGAGCCGACGGTGACGAGCAAGGTGTATTTCGACGTGGAGATCGGCGGCAAGCCCGCTGGTCGCATCGTGCTGGGGCTCTTCGGAGAGAACGTGCCCAAGACCGCCGAGAACTTCCGCGCCCTCTGCACCGGTGCGCGTCGCGCCTCCTCTGCTTGCCACCCCTTGCCATACCGTTGTTGGTAGATCCCGCCGCGTGAATCCCATCCACCCGTTCGCCCTCCGTCAATATCTCCCCCGCGCTAGATTCGTGCCGTCTTTGACGTTTCCCACTGGCTCCCTCATCATGTCTCTTCCCCGGGGGGTTCTTCCTCCCCTTTCCTCCCGCGGGCAGGCGAGAAGGGCTTCGGGTTCAAGGGGTCGGCGTTCCACCGCGTGATCCGCGACTTCATGATCCAGGGCGGCGACTTCACCGCCGGCAATGTATGTAAATCGCCTCACCTCACCCCGCCTCGCCGCGCCTCACCCCGATTCGCCTCCCCTCAGCCCGCCTCCCCTCCCCTCGCCTCGCCTCGCGTTGCCCATCACCCTGCCCTGGCTCCATCCCTCTTTTCTACCTGGCGCTGCTGTTTCCTCCGTCTCCCCGTTCCGATTGCCTGCTCTGTACTTTGTCCCCTCGTCCTCTCGCACTTCTTCACCTCTCTCGCTCTCTCCCTCACACCCGTGCATTCTCTCACCTCGCATTTATCTCGTGTGCCCTTGGGTGTCCCTACCCCTCTGTGCCCCTCCCTTGCTTTCGGGTGTGCGTGCGCGCCGTGGTGCGGCGTGGCGGCGGCAGGGCACGGGCGGCAAGAGCATCTACGGGCTCAAGTTCGCCGACGAGAACTTCCAATGTACGCTCCACGTGGGCGGGCTCGCGCAATGGCTGTGCGCTCTGGCTTTGGGCTTGCAAGTGAATTGGGGGAAGGGGGGGTGGGGAGGGAAGGGGGGGGTGGGGAGTGGAGGGGGGTTGAGGGGAGATGATGTGCTCACACACGCGTTGGTGTTAGTGCTGGTTGGTGTGATGTGTTGAAGTTGAACCCACCTGCACTCACTACTGCCCGTGCGGTGATATATCCCCCCTCTGCTGTGCGTGTGCGCAGTGAAGCACACTGGCCCCGGCATCCTGAGCATGGCGAACGCGGGCCCCAACACGAACGGCAGCCAGTTCTTCATCTGCACCGTCAAGGTGAGCCCGCCCCATGCGCTGCTGCGCGCCTGCTGCTCGCTCTACCACTCTGCACGGTTCTGGTATTGGCGGGAATGCTGGTTCAGCCTGGGGGGAGGGAGATCAACGCGAGGGTTTAGGCCGGCACGGAATGCAGTGAGGAAGACTTAATTGTGATGCAGGAGCGGTGCGGACGTGGATGGTGGGCTGTTGTGCTGCCCACCTCTGCATGCTGCGCCACATGCTCACAGCTGCACGGCACACAGCATGATAAGCAAGTGTCGCTGCATGTATGTTGTGGCTGAGTGTGCTGTGCTGCCTGCTCCGCCTGCTGCGCTCCCGCCCTGCCCTCACCTGCACAGGGGCTCATCTGGTGTGCTCCTCCGCTGACTTTCTCTTTCCCACTCCGTTTGCTTGCTGCTTGCTCCCATGTGCGCGCACCCCTGCGTGTGTGCATGTGCGCTTACCATGTGTGTGCACTTCCATGCTTGTTGCTTGTTATGTATTTGTTGTGCACGTGCAGACGCCATGGCTGGACAACAAGCACGTGGTGTTTGGGCAGGTGTTGGAGGGGTTGGACGTGGTGCGCACCATTGAGGGCCAGCAGACGGACCGCATGGACCGGCCCAAGGCCGCGTGCGTCATTGCCGACTCGGGCGAGCTCCCCAATTAAATTCCCTTAGCGCCGCTCTCCCGCCTGCTGAGGAGTGGAGAGAGTTTTGGGTGGAAGTTGAGCAAGTAGGATTCAATGTTGCTGTCGGGTGCTGTTCCTTAGGATGCAGTTGACTGCGTGAAGAGATCGTGTTTTGTGTGACAAAAGGCTGGATTTTCAAACGCTCGGTGAAGGATACAAAGTAGTTGCCTATTTTTGGAAAAGTTGTACGTAACCCGGTTTTTCAGTGTACAATAAATGGAAATCCTGAACTCGTCAACCAACCACTCCGCCGGTCTTGAAAGGTGGTGCTGCTGATCGCCGTTCAAGCCAGCATCCCACCCACCGTATCACCCACACTGTCTGCCGACCTCGCTCCCCCGTTCACTCCTCCCAGTCCCTCATTCCTCTGCTCGCGTCGCTCGTCTCGCCGCCATGCACGCCACGCCGCACTCCACGCTGCCGCGAAACGCGCTGCGAGTGGTGGTGGTGGCGGCCGTGGTGCTGCTGGCGTACTTCCTCGGGCCGCCCATCTACTGGCGCCTCGCCGCCACCGACAACGGCCCCGACGCGCCCATTTCACCGGAAGTCGGTAAGGCTCGCTGCGAGAAATGTTTGCAGCGGGAGAGGAATTAGCGGCGGAGGCGGAGCGCGAGCAGCGAATGGCGCGCGCGACATAGGGGCATGGCGCATGACAGTCTGCGCGGGCCCCGCTGGTGTCAATGCAAGGATCGCGCCACCTGCGCCCGTGGTTGCGCGCGGCAGGATGCACGGCATGCGGCGGAGTGGGGTTTCCAGTAAATTGCCGTTACATGATCGCAGTAGCACACCCACTGTGCTCACCCACTAGCCTCCTAGCATCCATTGCACTGGTCCCATGTTTCCTTTGCCGTCCCTTGTTCCCCTATCTCCAACTCCCGCACATACCGCCATCCCCTCCCCTCTTTCGGTTCGCCCCATTTCCTTCTCCCGCCTGTCCTTTTTTTCCCACGTCCCCACCACCGCGTGCCTCCCCTCCACCCCTCCGCCCTTCCCCTTTCCGCCCCATCCCCTCCCCGCGTGTCCGCCAGACCCCGAAGTAGAGCGTCTGAGGTCCGTGGTGGAGGGCGCGGCTGCTGCCAGGGAGGGCGCTGGTGCTGGGGAGGAGAGCGCTGTGGGCGCTGTGGGCGGAACATCAGATGATGCTCACAATGGTGGGGGCCCGCAGGGCGAGCAGGCACACATGGGGTTCGAGGAGACAGGGGCGGGGGGCAATCCGGTGGGCCGGGTAAACAGCAGGGGCGGGGAAGGGGAAGGGCATGGCGATGCGGATGGTGCTGGGGGGACGCGTGCGGAGGGGGGGGTGGGCGACAAGGGTGCTGTGGCCGGGGCGGAGAGCATGGGTGCAGACCTGGCGCGCAATGGGGAGGGCAGGGATGGGGAGGGCGAAGGGGGTGAAGGGGCCGAGGGTGGTGAGGTTGGGGAGGGTGGTGAGGGTGGTGAGGGTGGGGAGAAGAGAAAGGAGGAGAGTGAGGGGGGAGCAGGAGTGGAGAGAGATGGTGCAGGGAAGGGTGGGGAGGTGGTGGAGGAGGGCGATGAGGGAAAAGTAGAAACGGGGGGAGATGATAAGGGTGGTGAGGCGGGGGAGGTGGAGAGAGGCAGGGAGGAAGGGGCGTCAGGGCACAGTGATGGTGAGGGGGAGCAAGACCATGAGGAGAATGCTCCAGCGGACGAGGAGAATGGCCGCGATGCTGCACACACACATGCACATGCAGACGCCGATGCAGACGCAGATGCAGGTGCGCATAGTGGCAGGAAGAGTGGTGGCACGAGCAGAGGTGACGCAGGGAGCAGAGCGGAGGCAGAGGAGGAGCAAGCTGGTGCGGATGAGGAAGCAAGCAGTGCAGAGAGCAGGGAGGAAGGGGAGGAGCAAGATGCGGACTCCATCCGAGTGAGCAACCGCAAGATGAAGACAAAGTCCAAGGCAAAGATGAAGAGGAGGACGAAAGCCAAAAGGCTGTCCAGGTCACGGTCGCACGCGGGGGAGGAGGAATGATGAGCGAGCCTCAGGTGGGCGGGCGACAGAGATCACGTACGGTACCGTTCCGTACTGTAGTACTAGTGGATGGGTGGCTTCTCCACCTCCTGCCATTTCATTCCGTTCCATCCATGCCACCGCCAGTTAACAGAAGGATGTGTACTTTGTTGTAACGTCCAAAAAAAGAGACCAAGGTTGAGTGTGGAAATGCTACGGTATCAAACAGGAGTTGCAAACAGCCTGCTCAACTCTCCTGGAGAACTGCTCAGGTCGAATCATGTAGGAGCACTACACATATCAACAGCCGTCAACAGCGAGAATAGAGTTATTTGCTTGTGGCATTGAAGGCAGTGGTTGGTTTCTGCCTTCATTCCAGGCTGAATGAAAAAGAAGACTGAAATTCGTTCTTTTGCTGCCTTGAACACCCGCCCACTGGAGATGATGTAAAATTATGAAGCGAGGCTTCATTCATATATATACTACCGGTAATTGAGTGATAATACCGTATAACAAGTTGCAATAGAAGCAACTGTAAGTTAAAAGGTACGCTTAGGTGGTAACATGATTAGTCGGTAAGTGGTTAGCAGAGAGAGAGTCCGTCCGCCCCTCACTAAGGTACCTAGCTGAGCACACGGCAGCGTACTGATGAGTTTCAGTGCAGTCCACATGACATGAGCGCCATCAGCGGCGCCAGAACAAGTTGCAGCGCACATGGGGCTCCTGCTTCTCGCCCACCACCATCACCCCCCCTTGCTCCGCCTGTCCGCCCTGCGCCTGCACGAGGCAACGCTGCAGCTCCAGCAGCACGCGCTGCTTGCTGCTCATGCGCCGGCACAGCGCCCTGCCCTTGCCCTGCACCGCAGCGAGTCGCTGCAGCGTGCGCTGCGCCTTCCCCAGCAGCACCTCCGCCTCTCTTACCTGCCCGTGCGACCGCTCCACCACCCCCTCCACCATCTCCGCATCCATGCCCCCCTCCATGCCGCCCCTGTTCTCTTTACACCCGTCGCTGAGTGTGGGGCGTGTGCTGTGCTCCAGCACGGCGGCCATGTGCACGTACACGGCTTCAGTCACCGCCTGCAGGGACGCCCGGCACCACTCCAGCTCCTTCTCCACCTCCTCCCCCGCCGCCCCGCACTGCCCTTCCCCTGCTCCTGCCCCACCCGCTGCTGCTGCTCCGGCCGCGGCAACGCCCTTCCACACGCCGCCCACGACCCACTTGCCGAGCTTGGACGGGCTTCTGGACACGCCCACAGGGGACACACACAGGGGGTGCAGCGCGGGGCGAGGGAGGGGCAGCAGCACGCTCAGCTGCTTGCGCCTGCTGCCCCCCGCCTCGGCGCCATTGCCTCCCTGCACATGCTCGCTCTCACATGCCCCACCCTCATCGTCTTCCCCATCAAGGGCACCACTGTCCCGCCCACTCTCGCTCCTGCTGCCGTTTTTGCTCGTGCCACTGACCGGAGGTGCATTCACGGGTGCATCAGCAGCTGTGCCATCACTGTGAGACCCGCCTGTGGGGATAAGCCTCATCGCCTCCCCCGCCTGCTCTCCCACCTGGGACCTCTCCACCCCCCCATCCATCTCGGATCCCTCCACCCGCCCACCACTGGCCTCGCCCTCCTTCGCCCCGTGCCCGCCCGAATCGCCCGTGGAGGTGACGTCATCATCATCATCATCCCTGTCGCGTGAGTCGGTGGCGATCATGCCATCCAGGCTCTCCCCCTGCCTGCTGCACCACGACCCCCTCTCCCCGTCCATGTCACTATCCATGCTCTCCCCGCCCTCACTGCCTCTCTCCCCCTCCTCCCCGTGCTCCCCACTACCACTGCTGCCGCCGCTCTGCGCTGCGCTGCTGCCCCCTTGCTGCACGTCATGCTCCCCCCCCTCACTGCCTCCACCCGTGCTCGTCTCATGCGCCACATACCCGTCACGCCCCTCACACCCCTCATGCCCCTCACGCCCCTCGGCATGCACCACGTCGTCTCCCTGCCAACCATCCTCGCCCGCACTGCCGCAGCACCCCTCCAGCAAGCCCCCATGCTGCCCGCCACATGCGTCGCCTTCGCTTCTGCCCCCGCCACCAGCGTGCCTCCCAGCGTGCCCCCCCTCGCCCCTGCTCACCCGCACCCACCTGCTGTCCGCGCCCCTCTCCTCCAAGCACAACCATTGCCCTTTCCGCCCACCGCCCTCCCCACCGCGTTCACGCTCTACCCCCTCGCCCTCCTCTTCCCCGTCATCCTCCTCCTCCCCCTCCCCCTCCCCCTGCTCGTCCTCCGCGACGGCATCCCCCGCGCCCAGCAGCGCCAGCAGCTCCTCATCCTCGTCGCTCGTCTCCCCCCCGCCCTGCCCCTCCGCGTCGCCGCTCCGCTTGCGCTTGCTTGTGCGCGGGAGCGCGCGCGCATGCGCGCCGTGGAGCAGTTTGAGCAGCAGCAGCTTCAGCCCCGCGCACAGCTGCACCATGCCCTGCTCCACACACTCCTTCTCCTCCGCCCACTCCCACACCCGCTCCGCCTCCCCTACCAGATTCCCCAGCTCCGCAGCTATCCACGCCGGGCTCCGCTCCCCCCTCCCGCGCGCGCGAATGCCACCCCCGCCCCGCTCTTCCTCCGCCTGCCTTCCCGCGCAGCCCAGCAGCCCCCGCCATGTCTCCCGCGTGCACGCATCGTCGCCTCCCCCGCTCACAGAGCTCAGGCTCTCCTCTCCCTCCCCCTCCCCCTCGCGGATGACATGCCGTCTCCGCCTGTCTCTTGCGCCCGCCCTCGATCCCCCGGCCCCGCCCCGCAATTTGTCCCCGCTGCCCCACGCGCGTGCGCGCGGGCGGCACCCCACCACGGCGGGACCGTACAGCCCCGCGAGCTCGCCCGAGTCGGAGAGCGCGCCGCGGAAGTGGAACGAGAACTCCGACGCCGTCTCGTCGTCCGACCCCGCCTCGCGCTCCCCGCCCGCCACCCCCCGATGCCGCGGCTGCGCGTCGCTGTCCCGCTCGCGCCACTCCGCGAGTGCGTTCCCCCCTTGCTCCGCCTGTCGCCGGCTGGGGCTGCTTTCGCCAGTAGACGCGCGGCTGCCGCTGCTCGTGCTGCTGGGCGTGCTGCTTCTCCCCGCCGCGCCCACTCGCGCGCGGATCATCTTCTGGCGGCATCCGCTGCACAGCCCCGTCATGCTGCCCCCGCTGCGGCTGCTGCCCGCGCTGCTCGTCTCGCAGCTGCTCGCGCGAGACTTCCCCTGGCCCTCCGCCGCTTCCTTGCCGCGCAGCATCGGCGGGGAGGCGCACAAGTGCAGCGGCGGCGTGTCCGCAAGCCCCTCCGCGCACGGCGTCGGGCCGGCAACGACCTCCGGCTCGACTTCTCTTACCGCGCTCTCCTCACTCTTCTCATCCCGTCCTTCCAACGTCGCTTCCGCCTCACCCTCCCCGCAGCCCTCTGTACCGGACCCTTTCTCGCCACCTCCCTCCGCACTTGCCGCCCCATCGTCCTTGCCCCGCTCGTGCTCGTCCCGCGTCACCCCGCCACCGCCTTCCGCCTCATTCCCCCCCTCCCCATCACTGTTCCGCTGGGCGTGCTCCGCGGGCCCCCGGGCGGCGCGGAGCACCTTGCCCTGCTGCAGCAGGCGCTGCATGAGCTGGTCGTTCACCTGCCGCAGCGTCCGCAGCGCCTCGTTCGCGCGCTCCTCGCGCTCCATGGCCACCATCGCCATGGCCTGCGCCGCGCTCAGCTCCTCCTCCATGTCGCTCAGCAGCCCGCGGAACTGCTGCTCGCGCTGCGCCGCCGACTCGCACACCTGCTCGATCTGCTCCTCCAACTCCGCTACCTCCTCCCGCGCCTGCCGCTCCGCCTCGCTCACCCGCTCCGCCCGTTCGCCTTCTCGCGCGTCGCCGTCTACTTCCCCCGCGCATTCCGCCTGTTCAAGCACATCTGCTAACTCTTCCTGCAGCCGCTCTACCTCCCGCGCCAAAGCCGCGCGCCCCCGCTCCACTTCCAACCTCCGCCAGCATTCCGCCTCTGCCACTCGCTCCGTCGCGCGCGCCACCTCCCTTTCCGCGCTAAGAGCCGCGCGCAACTCGTCAATCTGCGGGGAAAGAGAGTTGGAAGCAGGGAATGGCACGTGGGAGGATACTGAGATGGGGAGAGAGAGGGGTAAGGCGGGCTAAAGGGCACGTGGGAGCTGGAGCGCGCAGGGGCGAGGAGAGCGGGCGCGGAGATGAGCGCGTTACCTCGGCGTAGAGCAGCTTCTCGTTCTCCTGCATTTGCTCCAGGTGTCGCCTGTATGCGCGCACTTGGTCTGCCGCCTGTGACGCGTTCGCGCCCGCCTCGCCCTCCCCTTTGCCCGTCCCGCCAGCCGCCTTCCCGTCGCTTCCACCAGATTTTTCCTCCCCATCATATTTCCCTCCCCCTTCACACCCCGTCGCCATGTTCGCGTCGCTCTCGCGCACCCTCCAACCTTCCCCCCCTCTCTCCGCCCCGCGGGCCGCGGTAACGGCAGAAGCATGTGAGGGGATTAATTCCGCGGATGAATCAGACACGGATGGAGGAAGGGGGAGAGGCTGTATGGTGGAGTGACTGATTGGAGGGGGGGGTGTGGGTGATGGCGTGGCGACGTGAGGGCTGCTGCCGTGGGCGTGTGCGCAGCGATCCACCATCTCCGTGCTGCCACGCGCGAGGAGGGAAGGTCACGGCCGGGGAGGGACGGAACAAAACGATTGAGAACGGGAATTGTGAAGGGCGCGAATGGGGATCGCGAAGAAGACGAATCCGCCAAAGGTCGGCGCGAATCTGATGCGCACAGCGACCAAGCACTAAAGGGGTGTTTTGGGAATTACAAGGGCGAAATACCATGGAGTACGATGCGCGACACCAGTCATGCAGTAGAAGTTACAGAAGGTTCTAGACAGAACGACCGTCTCCCGACAATTACCTAAGGCTGCGACTTTAGGGAGGGTTGGGCTGCGAACTGCTCGTCGCAAAGCTGCTCATCGTCGGATACAAGGTATCTGCGCTACGTGGTATGCTATCTAAACTTCGTCGCAAGCACGGACTCACGCTCTATTCGTCACTGCTAGAATACCCTGCGCAAAAGTACGAAGGTCCAGGAATATATGGCGCAACCAAGAGGCGGAGTTGCTGTGGTGAGGAAAGGATATCAGCAGATAGGGAAAGAGTTGTTTGTGGCAGAGGCATCAGAGTAGGGCCTGGTGGTGATGCGAGTGTGAGGAGTGCAGCGCAATGCCAGGAAGTGGGCATCACTGCCGCGCACTCACATCACATCCATCCCAGAAGTACGGCACACCACCATGCCTCACCACACCACGCAGCAAATCGCATGAAAGGCGCCTCGGCTGTGGTGCTGGTGCCGCACCGAGTGGCGCGAAATGACATCGACTCTTGACATCGCGGGGAATTTTTTGAACAGTACAGACACCCTCCTCGCTAACGGCACTCATAAGCATGTAACACGACTAGGTTATGGAACTAGTGATCACCTAATCCTAAATAGGCATTAGTGCCAACTTTATACCATAGCAATAAAACTGAAAGAAATGTTCTCTGGCTCAATAAATAAATGTATGGAACAAATTTCAGTTAAATATTGAATCTATTAATGCAAATAAATGTGCTTGTATAATGACCACTGTATAATTTGGTAAGTAGATATGCACTGGATACATTATTTTCACCATTAGAATAGTCAGTTTCATTTATTCTCCACTAGGGTGATTGTATAGCACCCCTATCTATCATTGTGAGTTCGAATACCCTCTGAAAGTTTCTGGGGTGATGGCGTGTCAGATAGGGATCTGTTTCAGTCAAACATGCAACACGATTCAGGGAGGTGGGGAAATGGGGGGTGGGGATGGAGGAACGTACGAGAAAACGGTAAGGCCCAACAAGGGTGCAATGGAGGGAGACGAAAGAGGAGGAACGACAGGAAGAGAGAGATGTCGATAGAGAGTTACGGGAGGGGGAGGGGGAAGGCAGAGGGCGGTAGAGCGCTGACCACTCTAAGCATAGGCGCGCGTTGATGGCCGACGAGCGACGGAGGCTAATGGAAGTACGACGATGACGCGCGGGTGGATGTCTGAGAGCACGTGCGCCCGAGGCGTGGTGCGGCGCAACGGCGCGAATTGCGAGGACTTGCAGAGTTGGGCGACTTAAGCTTGTGAGCGTGGAGTTGTGTCAGGGTTGCGATGCTAGGCGGTTATGTGGCAGCAGTGCGGTCACGTCAACAAGCGTCGTGGTTGCGCATAAGGCCGGATGCGAGTGGCGTGGTGTGTAGGTGCAGTGCAGCGCAACAGCACGAGTG